TAGATAGATAGATAGATAGATAGATAGATAGATAGATAGATAGATAGATAGATAGATAGATAGATAGATAGATAGATAGATAGATAGATAGATAGATAGATAGATAGATAGATAGATAGATAGATAGATAGATAGATAGATAGATAGATAGATAGATAGATAGATAGATAGATAGATAGATAGATAGATAGATAGATAGATAGATAGATAGATAGATAGATAGATAGATAGATAGATAGATAGATAGATAGATAGATAGATAGATAGATAGATAGATAGATAGATAGATAGATAGATAGATAGATAGATAGATAGATAGATAGATAGATAGATAGATAGATAGATAGATAGATAGATAGATAGATAGATAGATAGATAGATAGATAGATAGATAGATAGATAGATAGATAGATAGATAGATAGATAGATAGATAGATAGATAGATAGATAGATAGATAGATAGATAGATAGATAGATAGATAGATAGATAGATAGATAGATAGATAGATAGATAGATAGATAGATAGATAGATAGATAGATAGATAGATAGATAGATAGATAGATAGATAGATAGATAGATAGATAGATAGATAGATAGATAGATAGATAGATAGATAGATAGATAGATAGATAGATAGATAGATAGATAGATAGATAGATAGATAGATAGATAGATAGATAGATAGATAGATAGATAGATAGATAGATAGATAGATAGATAGATAGATAGATAGATAGATAGATAGATAGATAGATAGATAGATAGATAGATAGATAGATAGATAAGCGGAATATTGTCAGCCTTTGTAAGTACTCAAGAATATCATCTGACAACAGATTTACCCTATATTATGCACTCAAATGTTATTAGAAATGAAATGAGTTACTGAATATTAATAAGTAGTCTGAAGTAAGACACGGAAGAGAGTGAATTTAGAGAAAATGAACCAACTTACCAAATACGTTTTATTAAAGCACTACTATCTTAGTTGAAATATCCTAATTATATTCTCTATAAAGTGAAATATTTTTTTTGAAACTCTATTTTCATTCTGAATTATTATTTATTCTTATTAGAAGACAAAAAATTCTATAAACCAGTAGTAACTAACATCATTCATCTTCAAATTGTATCACTTTTTGACTAACATCTTTGTGACATTAATTACGTAATCATAGAAATCTAAGAATAATTAAACGGGCTATCAGGTCCTCATATCAATTTTGTATGAAATTGTAAATATATGATATTAAAGAGTTCAATAATACAATAAAAATAGTTATAGTGAAAATCCCCATTTTGACATTTGGTAAATAAAGAAGGAACGAATTGAGCGAAGAAATTTCTTTTCAATTAGTTTTTCATCATGGCTCTACACTAATATATATATATGTGCAAAGAGCGCACTCGTAAACCATGTGGCAAATTTGATGGGATATGGTAGATAACCTTAAAAGCTTTTTTTCAATTGAACTTGATGACCTGTATCAACCAAGTGAGAGAGAATAGAGCTTTTAATCACTTTTACCTGTCCTTTGCTTAATCACGATGGATGATGCTCTGTAATACGATGACGAACTTGCCGAATTGTACGCCCTATATACTTATTCAGATACATCTTTTTCTCGATGAAAACTTTTCATAAATTAATGTGATTTTAGTAATGTAAATGTTCATTTAAAAAATTCTTGTATTACTTTTACTTCCTTTCTATGTACTTTTTAAAGAAGGTTATTTCAAGTATATAACTAGTCAAATTGTAAACAACTAAATAAATAAATAAATAAATAGAATTAGATATTTCATTATTTAATACTTTTCTTATTCACTTGATTCTACTTTAATTAAAACAATGATGAAGGTTATTTTAAACATAAATGTATATTTTTTTTCTTGATTTTCATTAAATTCGAAATTACATTCAGCTCTTTTTCTTTCTTTTTCTAGATTGATATTTAAAGAATATCCCTTAAAGTACATCGACACTTTATTGTTGGTAAACAAAAAATATATATATAATTGACCTTAATAAAACAAATGTAATAAATATTGAAGGAAATTACTAATGATAACAAAGATTAATGTGAATGATTTATTGTCATTTATTTATTTATTAACAGAAAAGGGTATTTTAATAGTTGAGTTCATAAGTCAATTGAAGCTAGACTACCATGCAAAACCTCTAAGCACTAGACGGCCGTTTCATCCTACGGTGGGACTTGTAGTGTCTGTTATTATGTTAAGCCCATATATCTTATTCTAGCTTTCGGACAGGTCAATCTATTCATTCTGCTCGAGTCACATTCTTATCTTTTTATTTATTCGCTTATCACTCTTGACTGTTTTTATATGAGCGCGTAAGTGTGTGTACACTTCTTATCCCATTACTCATCACATGTCTGTAACTTTTATGTAACTATAAATATTGATTAACGCTTTGTTAAATGTGAGTTGGCTTACTCGCCATCTCCACTCTGTGTCTTTTCTCTTCTCTCTATTCCATTCACTTCATATACAAAATATATGTAGTCAGAAGTCCATTCTCGTTATTCGACTTATCTAACTCCGTTATTGACTAACGCGATTCAAGTCGATGATTATATATGAGGATATGTGACATATATATTTCAACAACAATCATCATTACAATCGCTTTGGAGTCAGATCTCGCGCCACTAAAGTGCAGAGCCCTTTCGACAACACCGTTCGATCTAAATGACGATTAAATAACGGGCCTCTACAGATTCTTCAGTAGTGTGCATCCACGATCTCGCCTCCTGGGATTCGAACCCAGGGCCTATCTGTCTCAAGCAAGAACACTTAACCTTTAGAGCACTGAGCTGGCATTTATTTGTTAAGTTTACTATATTTGACTGTTAACAGATTGAAAAATTGCACTAATCAAGTAATGTTACCTATAGTTAGTTGAGTAAATAAAAAAATATGTAACTGTTTGTCATTCACTGCATTGAACATTTCATAAAGTTTTCTAGTTTCAATGTAAATTTTAAGGAACTAATTAGTGTGTCTCTAAACTACATTTAACAGCTTATGTACACTAAAATACCAGATTATTACTGATGGTAAAAGGCATAGTTTCTAAGTTTATCTGTCCGTGAAAAATGTAATTATTTGAGATAGAATGTAACTTCTTATATGATTCAGATTGACAATGATCACGTTAATGATTGCCTGAGAGCTCAAAAGTTTATGTAATATTTGGAACTTTACTAGATCATTGAAGAATTTTATTGAATTCATGATATGAATAAAGGTAAATTTCCCGGTACACATAAGATAGTAACAGTGATATGAGTTATATGAGATAAATTTGAAAACAATAACAATGATAAAGATATTTATGAATACAATCGTTCTTTTGATTGCTATCAAGTAAAGCTATCTATATCTATCGATAACAAACTTACCAGTCATATTGATTCAGAAATGATTTTTGTTTCAGACAGTAGATTATCATTTATCTAGATTGTATTGAAATTATTAAACCATTAGAATAAGCTAATGTTCTTTAAATTAGATTTTCACGTTAGTAATAAATAAATTCTAGTGTAAATCACTTATCAAATATAAATGTATGTATTCGGCTTTGGGTGAAGCATTTTGTATGAAGATAATACTTGATTGACTAGCTGAAGAATATCGTAATCACTTCATACACATAACCCGAAATTTCAAGGTCAAAGTCCCTAAATATTAGGCCACTTCTCCTATGAGCTGAAAGGTAGCTCAAGTTACTGTCTTATACCAATCAGTTCAAATATAATATGACAGGTAATACAATAAGCCAATCAAAAGTCGTTAAATGACAGGTGCATGTTATTAGTCGAGAAATTATTTCATTTTCTAGGGATTATTATATTGAATTCGGTTTAGTCCCATAAACTTCCTCCTTTACTCTTAGTCTTCTCACTCAGTAACCGGTTGAGGTCTTGCTTATAGGAAGTTTATGTATCAGTATCAGTCTTTGACACTGCGTCATAACAATAGGTCGCTAGATCATACCTTCTTATGACAAAGTAGTTTCATGTGACTGACATTCAGGCAACCCAGTTTAAGCTTTCTGCACAACCTTTAGTTAACACAGAGTTCTTCGAATAAAAAAATGAGACATCTCATTCGAAAACAGTAAAAAGATAACATACTTCTCATAGTTATGCGCTGATTTTAACTTCTGTAACTTTAAGACTCATTTTGCCCTTGGCATAATCATATTTATCAATCATTGGCTGCCATTGTTTGTCAATAAAAATGAATGATAATAACTCCAGTATTTTTCTCCTCTTATCCTTTCATTCCCAAGATAGTGTCTTTATATGCCACCATCAATTTTATTCAATATTCTTATTGCTTTTTCACGTAAAATCGAGTTATGTAGTCTCAATGAACTTGTATACTATCATGTCATAAAACTTATTATTATTTCTTTATAGTTTACTATCTAGCGTATATATATATATGACTGTACACGAATCTTGCAGTGGTTTTGTTTGGATATATATCACGCTAATCCTACCCAATATTTATAAAACGAGTAAATGCAAAATTTTATGTCAACATTGTGAAAATAATATTCAGCTATATTGGTTTTCATTACTGTAGTTTCTGATTTGTAATAAATCAGATTTACTTATTATTATGGGAATGACAAGAATCAGTTTTGCTTCCCACTAGAAAATGTAATTACAGCAAGCTATTTTTTAATGATGAATTTGTTTGGTTTGATTGTAGTTGTCATTGCAAATTGAAGTCAGTTGAGGATTCGTTGAAAATAGTGAGCATTGGACTATCACCTCATCTTTATATGAGGCATCTAACTACGCCAGAACCACAATGTAAACTAATTGTATAAGAACCGAAGTGATGAATATTAGAATTACTTTTATTGGTTTTGTAGACTCTTTCCATACCTCACTTCGTTTTGTAAAATTATGAATTGTCGGTCAGAATCCCAAAACCAACAAATATTTTAATTAACAAGTTTATTTACAATTCATGGGTTACTGAGAATGGTTCTTGAATAGATTTTGTCAGTACAGTATTCAGTGATGATGACAGCAAGTCGATTAATGAAGGGCTAAGTACGTTGTTTATGGAATATTCTTACCTTTAAATATGTATTAACCAGATTTTAGATGGAATATTCTTAGGGTTCATTATATTTAAGGGTGACCTATCAGCATACCATGAAATTTTACGTAAATTTTGAACTACTTATGAGTAGCATAGATTATATAACTCAAGTTATTAGATTTAATTTCATTGTGACGTCTATCAAATACAGCTTACTAGTCGATAGGCATTGATGTAATTAGAAAGCTTTAACCGAAACCCTTTTTTAATCAGTCTATGAAGATAAGATATTTTGTACAAGAAACTTTAAAATGCACTCTTTATTTACTAATACTAAACTATTTATCATTGACTGCCCATTGAAATCTAACTTCATTGTCTTCACAAGTGAAAAGACAAAGACTTTCTGTTGTCTGCAGAATTTTTACCTTGGGTTTTTAAGAATAGAATGTTTCCAGGAACGAAACAACTCGAGTTCGGGGTATTAATAGGAAAATTTTTAGATTAAATTAGATTTCCTAGTAGAGAAATGTTTAAATAAACGGAATATCTAAAAAAGAAAAGAAAGTATTTGCGATTTTCTAAATAGACAGATACAAACACAGATATTTTTTATAAAACAGGTATAGTTCAATGTGTCAATTTTTTATTTTGCTTAATTAATAACCTAAGGAATGTAAACTTTAATTGTATCTCTAACTAGTAAATGTATTTACATGTTAATTGTCAATCAATCAAAGTATACTATGAAATTATTGATCATATAGAAACAGCATAACCTGGTGACAAATTTATAGATAAAGACAGTGTGAATGAAAATTTCAATAATTAGCAAACAATAGGGTTTTTTTAAGGAAATGTACAGATTCAGATATATGCGTATATACAAACATGAGAGAAGCTATAATCAATTTTCATACAATACCATAGAGGCAGACATTGAATTACACTTAATTATATGTGAAATTAAACAATACGATGAATGCATAGAGAAGAATGAAGATGGAATAACTGAGAGATTATATAAAGAGCATAAGGTATTTTTATTTCTCAGAATCGAACATTGAACTTATCGTTTTTCCTTTTGTAGAATGCTTTTAATATCATAATGTGTTGTTTTTACCGATAAGTTAGTATTTGTCTTGAAATAAGTATTTCTTCTCGTATTATACAAATTTTGAAGCAAACTAAATCCTTTCTAACTTGTTTTTAATAGTCTTTTTCCATTCTGTTCATGATGTGGACATGCAAAAGGGATCTTTGCGTTGATAATCTGATCCCATTGGTGAGGCGGTTGTTTCAAACCATGGATTACTTAAACTGACATCAGATTTATCTGTTAAGTTTGAGTTGAGTGATGCATCATTTTGAATAGTCGACTCATTCCATATACTTACACCTAGTTAAGAAAAGGAAATAATGATTTGGTGAGAAAACATTTCACAGTACAAACTTTCGTTGATAAAAAAAGTGCGAGTTGAGGATTCAACAGCAATCTATTCAGTTTATTCTCCTACCTTAATTAGACTCATATCCCATAAAACATTAGTTATACCGATCTTTAAAAAATGGCCTCAATATGCCTAATTCACATGTTCTCTTTACCTCTGCAATTATCGAACTTAAATTTATCCGACTTAGTTATTCTTGAAATTTTATTTGCGTTAAACTTAGCTATTTGATTACGGATTCAAATTCATATCAATAGAACCTGATGAGAATTTGTTGAAACCACCATTCTTATAAATATGCCTATTTTAATATGGAGATTTTTCTAAAAATTTCAGTTATAAATTCGCGAACTGATCTTAAAACAATGAAGATTCTTCACAATATCATGTACTGACAATAACCATATTCTCTCAGTTGACTAACTTCAAGATGCAATTCCTGGAGTTCTGATGAAAAGCCATGACCAATGGAGTTTAGTAACATTGGGTGAAAGTTTTCCACCACAGCCAATGGGGACGTTCACACAATATACTGAATTAATTGTTGATATTTATATGATTGGATGCCGTATCAGTGGTCTAGAGGTTAAGGATTTGTGCTCACGATCGAAAGTCCTGAGTTAGATTACTTGTAGCTGGGTGGTAGATGTGCACTCCTGAGGGGTCCTATACAAGGACGAGACAACCACTCGGTGCTTCCTGGTTTTTGTTGGTAATTCAGCTAGGACCAATGTGTGATTTGAAACTATGAAAATTCGAATACAAGATTGTTGATGATATTTAATTCTTATGAGGCTCCTAGAAATAAGTCAAGTAATGTTTAACAGTCTCTATCATGTTGATTGATTTTGTCATTCTTTTTGGACAGGTCTGAATTTATTAACTAAATTATTAAACTAATTTAGATCCCATAATCTATTATGAAATTTTAAAAAAACTTTATTGACACCAATTTTTTAGTATAAGACTTTTAATTGGTTTCATGAAAAGTTTATGAAAAAATCGTTACCTTCTTCAGGGTTCATATTTGAAATGATTGTTTCTGCCTTATGTGGATCACAATTTTGTACAGTTAGTTCTTCTTCACTTCCACCACGACCGGAATCGGATGCATGTTCTTCAAATGATATGATTTGTTCAACACCTAAATTTGATCTGTGACTTACTGTCATACAGTTGTACAATGTGCCTAATTTAGGTACTGTTGTAACTAACCTCTTCCCTTGATGCCTAATTAACCTGTCATCCAAAGGATTATCAGGTAGATTCATTTTAAAGTGTGTTGAGTTCATAGGATTTGCTTCGCGTAAAGCCTCACTGTTCTTTGTTATCTGAGAATCCTGTTCAATGGAAATATATAAAAATAACTAAGGTAGTTATGAGGGGAATAGGCAATTCAATGATTATTTCAAGAAACTTGATTTGATACCAGTTCCACAGCAAAGCTAGTAGAAGCAACAAAAAATAGGTAATAATACGCCTAGTTGAATAAGATATTAACAGTGGATTACTATAACCAGGTTATACACTTCATTTAAGTGTCAAATAATAAGTAAGATATTCAACCATCTGTTGACTGATTTTCCTGGAACAACTAGAAATTACTCTACAACTGAGATGAACTATACCGATTCCGTCAGCTGCTGATTAAAATTTCGCAGTGAGAAAGTCCATTCTTTACAAAGTGCTAAGTGACTCTCCCCACAACTAATACAAGTATGTTATTACCTGGTAGCAGAACTTTTAGTCGGGAAGTTGCTTCTGTTTACATGCAAGAAACTTCAAATAACCATAGTTATAAAAAACTAAGTTTATAATTTCTCTATTTGGTCCTATTGTTTGAGAATATCAGGAGCAAGAGCTTCCGTTTGCATGTAGAATGCTCTGTCGTTTTTGTAATTTTTATCAACACTTCTGACCAGTAGTATTTCACCAAACTACTTATTAGTCATAATAAAACTCTTTGAAATAAACAAGTTATAAATTACTTACCATTTGATCTTCATTGAAATTGCATATAATTTTAGACACTACCGGTATCGGTCTAGTAACACAAAAAGCATTTACAGGATCCAGTTTTATATTAAATGCAGGCAAGGCACTGTTCGAAGTTGAAGTCATTGAATCATTAGAATAACCAATTGTTATCCCAGAAAGTCTATTGGATCGGGGTAGAAATATTTGATCTTGAATTTCATCAAATCCATCAGTACTCATTTGTTGATTGAGAACACGTACAGCAACAGCTTGGTCATTATTTCTGGAGGAAAGTGATAGATTAGCCGAAGCCAAATCAGGTGAGATATGAATATCATGAAGTTGACTATTCCTCAAGTTTTCATATGTAACTTGCGGTGTTTCATTCTGTGTATAATTCTTGAGTTGACCAAAAAATAGGATTTTCATTTTAGATAAAAATAGAAAGATAGAAAATGAGTCAAAATAATTATTGAAATTTGCGTGTTTTAAAGATGCACCATTTCTATTCAACAATGCGCTATGTTGTCGCTAAATCATCACTTACTGATAGGCTAAACAGAAACACCTGGAAGCACTGGACGACCGTTTCATCCTGGTGTGGAACTCCTCCTCAGTGCGCATCCACGATCCCGCACCACGCGGGGCTCGAACCCAGGACCTATCGGTCCCGCGCGCGGACGCTTAACATCTAGAACACTGAACCGGCATCCAACGGTGTTAATGTCTAACTTCAACCGATCCACGAAGTTGAGCCACCGTTTACCAATGTCTTCAGTGAGTTACTATCTCACAACAGACCCGGTTGAACTCCACTGGTCACGGCTTCTCACTAGACGTTCAGGAAATACCTCTAGAACCCAGTCACCAGTGAGCATATGGTGATTATTATCGGAAGGGGCTTTTGTGAATATTTTAGTAATTTAATAGTTGAATTCATTAGTTAATTGAAGCTAGACCACGGGGTCGTCAATGCGAACTGTTGAGGAGTCCCACAATAGGACGAAACAGCCGCCCAGTGCTTCCAGTTTTTCCATGATAGTCTAGCTTCAATTGACTCATGAATTCAACTATAAAGCTACTAAAATCTACACAAAACCTCCTTCTGATAAACAGAAATTGACCATTTAATTTGTTGGTACTTAACTTTAATGAAATGATAAAACGTTTCGCTGGAACTTTTGTTATAAAAGACTTAGAAAATAAATCAGGTCTGAATTCAATGAGTTCACAAATTTGTTTCTAATAGTTTAAAGTAAACAATACTTGTGTATTACACAGTATCCCACTATAATTGATAATTCACAAGAATAGGTGCTAAACTCCGACAACTCACTGTTTTCTACCTGATAAGACATCTTACTGTATTGTCATTCAAGTGTCTTGTAACTAAAAGTGATGAACCAGTGACCGATCCAGGGACTAAAGGTTAAAAGGTTTTTTTATGTTGACTGCTGTTAAAATCCTACACTAAAGTATTGTTTCCCGTCGACACACCTGTAAAGATCTCAGTAGCTAAGAGCGAATCTTCTATAATGTTATCGACAGATTTGTAAAAGTAAATCTGAAGTATCAATGTACCTTGAATTGTAAGGATTATTTCTTCCGCAAAACGCTGTAATAATTTACTGTTTATCATCGAGACTTTAAATCCTATAAACAACAAATAATTTTGTTCATTGGTAATTGACTAACTGTTTGATTGATCTATTGTTTCATCTATAACATGATGTCCCTCCAAGGATAACTGTGATCTTACAGATAAATCACTTGAAAAGCTACTTAGATTCAGAGTGCGATATTTAAAACTGATTAGTCCTGCATATATCTGAAAAGTATAAATACTAAAGTCTTACTTATTTAAAGATTTATCATATAATTAAGTGGTTAACTATATATGATAAAATATTACTACAAGGCTAAAAATGTTAAAGTTCTGTCACCATTTTCAATGTACATTTATATCTCAATTAATCATCGCTTATGTTAACTTACCATATGGTTTTCTGTTTGATTATTATACCTGGGATTTATGAGAATATGTTGGTCATTTGAAATGTCGTTTTCTGAATCATTCGAAGGACTATGGAATGGGAACGACATATTTCCGTAATTCGCTTGACTATCTCTAACATGATGCAACCAGTTGTCCATACACACGTCACCGTTAAGTGGACCAGGAGGCCTATGAAATGTCGTATGATGAGAACCATTAGAAACTGGAAAACCTCGTTGATCCATTGTACCATTAATGAAAGACCCATTTTCATCCACTATTATTCCATTATTTGAGTCTCGACCTCCTGGATACGTTGGAGGTCTATTTCTTAATCTATCATGTCTTCCATTTGCGCATCTATTTCCATGACGATTTCGTGAGCATGGTTTGGTAACACAAAAAACAGCCGAAATTAGTATAGCTGCTAGAATTCCTGAAACGATGGATAACGCAGTAATAATTAGAATGTTTTTGCCACCGCTTGGACCCCATTCATCGAGTCCAAGTCCAGTTATGTTGCTCACATAGTAACTAGATGATAATGAACTTTGTCCCAAGCCTCCTGACGCAGGCTTGTCTTCAACAAGTAACGGAAGAATCTGAAATGAGTGTGGAAAGAAGGACGGATTGTCATCATCTTATGTAATAATAAACCAATTAATCTTGTAAATATAATATTGATGATTTACCTTTTGATCTATTTTCATTTGAGGATGCCCGCGGTCAGATGCGGTCACTTTAAAGAAGTGATACCCCAAATCAATTGGTGCCATATGACGTATTAATATTAATTCGCCAGTCTCTGGCTGCACTCTAATGAGAGGATTTGGTCTGATCTTATCCACTGATAAATCATAAAATTCTTCAAGCAAGTAAAATACAGCCCCATTGTCTCCAGCATCTGGATCTTCAGCATACAGTTTACTTATCACTTGATCAGGTTTTTCGTAAACAGATAGGCGAACTACTGGCTCAGGAGCCGTAGACTGTGTATTTGTATCTGTAGGCGGACTTGATTCACTTTGATATTCTTGGTCACTACGCTTTTGATTACCCTTTACTACTTTATAATTGTTATCTTCAAAAGGTTGGTCATAAAGTACGATGCCCTTATTCATATGTCGTTTGAATCCACTGAGTTGTGTGTTATCTAAGCGTAAGGAAAAATGCAAAGATCTATTTAAGGTTTTTCGTAATAGATAACCAGTTAAAGTAATTTAGGAGAAATAAAACTCCAAAATTTCGAAGATATTTACAGAAATGTTCCATAAATTTAGTTTTATTAACTCTACGTACTGACATACACCACTTGAATAGAATGATTAACTGTAATTTAAAACTACTATAGAACTTCGAAAAAGATATGCAAACAAGGTTCTGCTCATGGACTAATTGTGCCAGTATATTTTCAGTTGGAAATGGTATTGAGTACTCATGATCTTCCACAACTTTTTCGACAGCCAAACCCATTAAATACCTAAAAGATCATTTCCTCTGTTTTTCAAATTTATGTATATTTTCTGTGGAGGTCGATAACTCATTACACACCTTCTGCCATGGTCTTCATAACCACTGACTTTTGTGAACATAAACACCAAGTGAGTAGTATAAATTTCTGACTTACAATCAATCTGCTTGATAGTTTAATTATTACTGATTGTGAATAGTCTGGGGATCCTTTCATTTCAGATACATCTCACTGAAATGATAATGTGAACAGTTTTAACTTGTACAAGTATGAATCACTTTTCTCTTGGTTCTTCTCCTTCTAGTCTTCTTTAACTGCCAAATTGCAAATTCTGAACTTCAAAACAGTCCTAACACGAGCCCGTTTCAAATATACATTCTTCAATTGACTTCAACACAACCGTTATACATCAGATATCAAAATATTTACCTTTGAAGACTTTTTGAAGAGTCTATGTTCTTCAGTAAGCTGTGAAATGTCCTTATATTATGTAATATTGTTGGTAGAAAAAACCATCGACGAGAGAAATTTGTGAACGGAAATTGTTTGAGTCACTAAACATGTAGTATCAGAAATTAACAGAAGTAGTGCATTATCTTTAGAAACCATAAATAAGAAAGGATGCCTAATGATAGTGAATAGCTTTTCTTTATCAACAGTTCGCATTTAGGATCTACTGACTTTCATTTGAGGTCAACGATAACAATGGGACTATCGAATTTGTTTGCTGTAAAACCTTTTCTAGTTGTATTGCAGTGTAGACTTTTATTAGAGCACATCATGATATAAAACGAAATGAAGAGTGTACAACAATATGAGCACATTAGATGACAAACAGTATGGAATAACTTGATTTATTTGAATATATTTCACTGATATCATAATTATTCAGACATGGATTATTTTGAACTATAGCTAACTTTCCACTATTTCTATGTGACAAAGTGTATCACATATTTCAGTAAATTCACTGGTAAGTAATGTTAGGCTTACTATATGAAATTCTTTTAAAATCACTGTCTGACTTTTGTGTAGGACTATTATTTACAAAGGGAATAATATTCAACGTACTCGGAATTAAAAGTCCATGTGGACTCAAAAACTGGGGTTGGTTATCATTTAAGTCCAGAACAATGATACCAATAGTTCCAGTTGTTGTTAATGGTTCATCTGGTGACTGGTCACTCACAACGACTGTAAGGCGATAATGATCCTACAAATCAATACATAGATTCATTACTATATATATGGGAATATTTTGACCATTGTCATTTGTAATATGGTTAGAAAGAACAAATAGATCATATATTGTCATAAGGCTATATAATAAATGAGAATTGGTATTATTGAATATCTATTTAGAGTAATTAGATTATTCAACTGACCAAGATGACAAAATACTTGTCTGCTTACGACTCAGTTGGGATATAAATAAATACGACTGTAATTCAGCTCTTCAAAAAACTCTCCATTCAGATCTAGTATTCTGTATTCTCATAGTAGCCTAGTTAAGCTTTTAGAAACACCAGTTAGCAGTTTAACTGGAGACGGAGTACAACAGTTTCTGTCCCAAAAAAACTATACAAATAATTAGTATTGTAATTTTATAGAAGTAAACCATTTACTTCAGTGTTTTCTCAAACTAGATTTAACTTGGTTAACAATTTTTTGTACGTGAGGGATGAAAATAGTTGTATTTGTAGCCAAAGGAACTAAGATGAATTTTTCATGTTTGATAGCCATAAGTTATTTGGAGAACTTTGGATTTTATATAAATCAGTTACAATTACCTTTTCCTATCCTTTCAGAGTATTGTGATTAGTCCTAGAACATCTATGTTTATCCTAATATTCTATACTACTAACAAAATATTAAGTAGGTTAGTAATGTAATAGCCATGTTCCAATAGTAATCAGCCAGCATTACACTTACCTTCTCTTCTCTATCCAACTCAACATTTGTGTACAGTGAACCATTAGGCAAAAGTCTGAACCTTTCGTGTAAGCGGTATACTGGATCTGGAATTAACGTGAATCTCAATTCAGCATTTAATCCTTCATCTTTATCAGATGCCAGTATGTTACCCATATATGTATTGACCGGCATATTTTCTCTCACAATAAATAAGTTTTTCAAACCAAAACGTCCTATAGGTAGATCATTGGTTTTTAAAAGAGACTCATCGGCTTCATATGATGCCAAGACCGGACTGTGGTCGTTGACATCCAAGACAGTTATATTGATTAAAACAGATGAAGATAAACGAGGTTTTCCATTATCCAATGCAATCGCTGTGACCTAATATAGAAATGACCATAATTATAGTGAGCAAAGTTAGATATACACATTTTTAATTTTGATTCTGAATATTACAATAAAGGTCTTTACTTTGTTACTGAATACATCTTCTAAACCTATATACGTCTCAAATGCTTTATATTTTCTAAAATCGGCATTTCGTGAAATATCTCAGCTATTATCTGAAATCATTAGTCATTCTATTGGAAAGATAAAGACTTCCTTATGTGACTATATTATCCATTTTTAAACAAGTCACCACAGATAACTGAGTTAAAATCTAGTCAAATAAAATGAAGATTTTTAGATAGAAGCCTTATTGGTAAACATATTATCAACATTTCACTTTGTGATTGGAATTCTATGCGGCACTACAATACATCGATTTCCAGTAGTCATAATATTTATATATTTGCTGTCATCACATAGGTTAATTAAATGGGAAAATGACAACCATTTTGGTAAACTAATTTGGTTGTTTAAACATCAGTTAAAATAAATAGAAAGCCAGACTATTAATCCACATATGAGTATCGATTTCTGTCATGGGTTTACAGTTCCAAGTATCACAGCTCGGGTCATTAAGCCTGTAATACGAAGATTAATATCACTAATTTCTTACCAATGTGTATAACCTCTTTTATGGTCGTGGCTTGTATGGGATTGGTCATATACTTCATGCTCTGTTGATATAAACTTACTTTAAAACAATCGTTAAGCTACTAGGCCCTAACTTCAAGTCTGATTGAGAGATTTCGATCAATGGACTCAATCATTTTGAAAGCGATGTGAATCGTAATAACTTAAGAATTGAATAGAGTTGTTGGATTTCAATATATTGGTCTAAAGATACTGTGTTCACAGGACAACTTAAAGGTTCTTTGTATGATACAGTCTAAAACTGACAGTATGAATTTACTGATAGGCCTCAAACTAAGAAAAAGCTATTTGATGTTCCCCAATTTACAAAAATTTTAGAGCCGATTTCAAATTTGTGGCAAATACTATTTTTCATATTTAAGCATTGATGTTCAAAGTGCTCAAGAAACACAATAAACATCAATATATCTAAGAATAGTGAGTAATCAACTGATATTACATAGTTTTAATCTATTTAAACCTTAACCATTGTATAATTATTATAAGTGTACAGTGTTTTAGTTAAACGAATTGAAATATTCTCTCTCATGATAAGAATCGAGTTAATTCACTTAACAACTATTTTATTCATCTATCAGTAAAATAACCGAGTTACTTTTTTGAAATATCCATGTCTATGAATACACAAACAAATAAATAAATTTGTCTCACAATATGACGTAACATCATTAGTGTTAGAAATCGGAAGTGGATGTTATTATTTCTCTAGGTTATAAAAATATGTATTATTACTAAAAATATGATTTTATTAACATATACACACTTCACAATCATCAACTGTCAATGTTTACAGTTAAAGATCTGAATAGAATAATCAAAATAGTGACTGGAATCCAATATGCATCAGCGTTTAAATACAAGGTGGAAAAATAAACAATAAATCCTAAATAAGATTTTTTTTAAACCTAAAAACAACATTTAAAGTATTTAAAACAACATAGCAACTAAGTTGTTTTCTTTTCTTTGTGAGATAAAAGTGTGTTTTTTTTCAAATGTGTCAAAACCACATACACACACTTATCACTTTTACACATGTATTACAAAAGTTAAATGATCGAAATGATTAACTGATCTCACGTACTTATGTAGAGAACTCAAACATTAGTTATTCGTTATAGTTTAGATTTTGAACATGAATTCGTATGAAATTAATGAAGTACCGAGAAGCAAAATGTACTGAATATTAGATATTTTTTTAGTTAAAAACAATTGAATACTGGTTAACCCAAGTAAATGTATACGGATTGTTCATAAGACGGACGTAAGTATTAAAAAATTCTTCGGTAAACTCTGATTAGTAATGGTTATTTGTGATGCCATTTGCGCTAGCTAAAAAGACTGGATTCTTTTGATGACTTATAATCATTATTGCAAGTTAAATATTAGCTTTTCAGCTGTGGATTAAAATTCAGTGATTACAACGTACAGTTGTTTATCACTTTAAATGATTACTGAAGGGACATGTAGTTCAAACAATGAATAAAACACCACAAATATCGCGATTAATTAGCAGCCGATATTACTAACTTCATAGATAGTTTACATTACAAGCTGATTTCAGCTTGAAAAGCATTGAAAACTAGGAATTGCTGGATAGTTGTTTCATCACAGGTTTGGACTCAGAAGCAGTATACACTTATGACCACTCTAAATATCAAACCCAGGACATTCAGGCTTCGTGGTGAACAGTTCACCTCTGTTTCTGACTTCGGTAAACTCAGTATATTACAGAACGACAGTCCACGACGTTGTCGAAATCCATCGGTCACAAATGTTCACTTAAACTGTGGAAATTCTTCTTGCAATTAGTTTTTGGTGACCGTTTAGATGAAGCAATTTAGTAGTGTATGCTATTCATATATTGAATTACTGTTACTACACTTACATCCTAGTAATAATTAATTTTATTCAGATTGTTTTGAAAACGTACAGCAATAGTAAGGAATACTTCGATGAATGGTCGTATTTATTTTGACGACAGATGTAAAATAATAAAAGCAGTAATCAAATAATATAATTTAATATAATCCTATATTTTAAAACTTAAGTTGTGAGATAAAACATGTTCATAGAGTAACGGTATCGTCTATATTCCTCTGGAATACTTGGTAATTTGTATAAATTAACCATTAATTCGGAGAACGTTCGTGGAAAAATATTCTTCAAATTCTGTAATAATCTATAGATACACTTGGTATTGTTTAGGACTGCAATTGATCAGTTTCTTGTTGGCATGTATGCATATTGTACGGGTTGCCTCGATATTGTCTTAAGTCACAAGCTTTATAAAAAAAAGATGGCTAGTGACCAGCTGACGAATACCAAATAGGACGAAACGAGCGTTCTAGATTCCACTGCTAACCACTATCCATCTTTGCTTATAATCAATAGATAGTTTAGGCTAACCAGAAAGAAAATTCTAGATCATATTTCCATGCCTGAGATCGTCACCAGATAGACTTAAGTGCAATCTAGCATTCTAAGGACCTATTAACTTTATCCGTAATCAACGCATGAATTAGTGTGCTAAAGTCTTAAATCTACCTAGGATTAAACATTTCTTCAATGTTTACAGAAAGATTTCCCAACTGAGCACTAATAATCTAAACAAAAACTTTCTCTTTGGTTGACTATAGTCATTTAACTTTGTTTGACTAATTTGTTTACTAATTATCTGGTATTTTACAATTTCACCAACTATACATCATGATAAAGCTAATTGTTATTACTTTCACATAAAGTAAGTCAATTGTCTTTCTGTATATTTGGTTAATATGCGATAGGAAGAAAGAAAGAAAGAAAGAAAAGAAAAACTCGACGAGAGGAAACCATACAGAAACAAAACATAACGTTCAAAAAAAAGTACACAAATATAGTAAATTGTGTTTAAACGATGAAGATAATAAATATCATTTAAAAATTAATTAAATTGTCAATTCCTTTTAAAAAAGAAACACTTTGCATGTTGATTGAAGTGACCAAAACTTTAAAGTAGGATTTTTCTGATTTATGTTTAACATTAATGATATCAGTTTTCTTTTAAAAAAAACTGGGGGTATTTTAGCGGATAAAGATAAACAATGATTAACTAAAACAATAACGCTAACATGGTTATTAGTTGTTGTTGTTGTTTATCAACAGAAAAAAGGTCGGAGAAATATTGGAGTTAAAGAGATTTAGAAAGATATTTCCTATTGGTAGGGGATACTTTTTACAAAAGTTATTAATGACAGTAGGAAAGATATAATCCGAAACTGGCTAATTAAATAATAACTAGGGGTTCTCTGGTGATTTTTGATTCGAAATAGTTTTGCAAAAGTTCTTTTTGTGGATGTAAATCTATGATGTATGTGAGTGTTTGGTGACTAAAGCGGTTGATAATAAATAATTTCGAATGATATTTGTACTATAAGACGTGCTAATCAAAATTAGAATATGTAACTTGTTCAATTCTAATCAATTGGTTGTATGGTACTACATAGTTACTTGTCACTATGGTTAACCACTTATTTAAGTAGGAATTATGATTGGGTGATAATGAATAACGGAACCTTATACAAGAGAATGTTATGGTTTTAATCTACGAACTTAGTTTACTATGAAATCGCTTCAATATGCTTTTACAGTTTTGGATTTAATTAATTAATGATGTATATTAAACTCATTATTCATTGACAATTTACAAAAACTTAAGCAATAATAACACGTTTATCGGTATACCTTCTTCTTTACGTTTCTTTGATAGAACGTCACTCAAGCGTATTAGAGTACATGAGATGTAAAATGTAATATAAGTGCTCAACAATATCTTAAATTTTTCTTTCTATAACATATATTGTAAAGAAAAGACTTGAAGTACTCAAGTTTGAAACTGAATGATGAATAATGATTATTGTAGGAGCTTTGAAGGTATTTTTTAATCTTGACAGTTAAAATGTGTATTAAAGTGAAATATCTTGCAAGACGTTATATTTTGGGCTTAGAATTACTTACATTAACTAAGTGTAATATTGAATAGAACCATTATTATTAAATATCAACTTAAATTAAAACTTCATCAGGATAGTTATATAGCCCTATCCCTAATCTACAGTAAAACTTAAATGAGGATCGATGGAACAACGGATGAAATTTATGTGTTCAATAACCAAAATGAAACTTCTAATGTATTGTGCAGTCATTGAACGAAACGAATGTAACTAAGGTTTTCAATATGAATGAATAAATAAACGAACAAATCGTTAAATTTGACAATAAACTTATCCTACTTCGTTGTAAAGGTCTAGTAGTAAGCCATATAAAAATTATCCTAGTCTTCAAATTAATTATTCTACCTATAGTTACTTACTTGATAGGAATCGCGTATTTCACGATCAAATATTACATTTGGAGTAATCCAACCTGTTAAAGAATCTACTTTGAAGTTAGCTCTATCCAACAGAGAATATGTGATTCTAGCATTTTCTCCTTCGTCTGAATCGTGAGCTCTAATCTATCAAGGGCAAGAATATGAGATTATTCATTTTATGTGACTAATGAATGTGATAGAGATAAATAGGAATAAATAAAACTACATTTGAAACTAATCAAATTATAATTCATTGAATTTATATTATGGTAAATAAATATGTTTAGATGTTATGAATTTACGACTGACTGGCTATTGACAATCTGCCTGTCAGATCAAATCTTATCTACCAGTTGTAATTGCAGTCATTTAGTCTGAGTGACCAGACTTTGCGTAGACCATATATTGGTATTATTTTTTTTCAAAGCATTCAATGGAAAGCCTGAGACATTGTTTCCATTCTGGCTGGCATTTGTTTGCAAGAGACACCCAAAAGAGGTCTTGTGGAATCTTAATAGTTCATTATTAGCACCTTGGTCATACTGGGTAACTCTTTAAAATTTAACCGTTGGCATCACTTCAACGAAGGTTAGAGATATAACCTAATAACGGTTGACATCTTTCGAAAAAACCACTTCATAAAAACTCCCATCATAAATTATATAATATAAAGTACCTACTTGTACTACTTTTTCACCAATAGGATTATTTTCTTGAATGGACATATGATAAATGGAATTTTCAAAAATTGGTTTGTGGTCATTTACGTCTCGTATGGATAAAGTTGCTGTCATTGTTGATGTCAAACGTATTTTACTATCAGAGTTATGTGATATCATTCCACCAGAGCTTGAAGCACCATCTGAACAAATTAAATATATGATTAGGTGACCGGGTATAGGATTCTCAGGATCTTCTCTATCAAGCATGATTCTGGTAGTTAGATCGTAAACTTCTGCACTTGGATTGACAGTTGGATCAGGTAAAAAATGAAGTGCCTGACGACGAATCAATCCTGGTGGCTCTGAACATTCTACAAGTCCATTTACACTAGGACTGTCAGGATCACGTATTCGCACCTAGGATGTAAAGTTTGTAAAAAACAACACCTTATATACTAACTTAAATTGTTACAAAGAAATCATTTCATTGAGTAAAGTAAGTTGACATTTTGTTCATACAATTCCCTTTTCAATTATTAACTTTAGGTATGGATGTCAAATGGATAGCTAGTTTCTAGGCAACAATCTAATGTTATTATCACGTTAAGTATCTGGTGCACGCAAAATTTGTGTTGGTTTCCATACGGTACTCATAAGCATTATAAATTTTGTTTTGCATGTGAATAAATTTAGTGTTTCCTTTTCGAACCTCATTTCTATGATTAGGTAGAGAGAACCGTATAATAATTTTTTTCAGGTTTTTACTCATCAAAAAGACAAAATTCAATTGAACATTACGTACATATAAGATCAAACCAGCTTTGTTAGTTTTAATATCAAGGCATAGAATTGTTCAGATTGTCGCCCCACCTTGTAAAATACTATTAATACGTTCAGTTTGTTATATTTCTTTAATAAAAGTGTGATTACTGACTAGAATATTTGTGCTATTTGAGGACAGTTTTTATTCACGAACTAAAAATTACTCTACAACCATTAGATATGTATCAGATAAAATGGATAGTTGATTCTAATTTCAAACTTTTTTACAACTGACGTCTAATTCACTGAATATGATTCAAACCAAAAATTTCAGGCTTCTCATTGAGTATGAGAAGATTCAATCACTATATAATCATTATTGTTATCGGATAACAGTAACAACTTATAGCATTATTATTATAATAAATAATGACTTTTGGAAGATAATAAAATATTTATTCATCTTACTCGTCCAATTAATTTTCCAGGTGGAGAATTTTCATCAGCGATTAATTGTTTAGGATTTAATTCAAATGCTGGTGGTTCATCATTAACATCTAATACTTGAACATTCAATGTAGTACGAGCAGAGAATTCTCCATCAGTAACTTCAACTGGAATTGAATAAATATGACGTAATTCATAATCTAAACTACTATGTAGTCTAACATGTCCATCAGCTTCAATATGAAATGTACTTGACATCACTTGATATTCTAATGAAGAAGCCATTGTATATGTAAGTTTAGATGTACTATCTGGATCATGAGCCACAAGCTAAATAATGTAAACATTTATTAAGATTGAAAGATATTACGGATGGTTTAATGTTTTAATCAGTTTGATAATTGACTTATATCATATAATTCATAATATCAAGCACTTTAAAAACTAACAACAATTAAAAATCAACTTCAAAACGAGTACATTTAATGAGCTGACCATTATTTTAGACATTCAAATGAAAAATATATTGAATATATAAATTTAGAAATTAGAATCTTCTATAGTTTGACTTTCATACATTGGTCAATTTTCACAGATTGATAAAGATTTGATGAGTATTTGTTGTACTCAAAATTAATTTGATTGATTCACTCCACTAAATAATTAAATAATTAAATAGATGTAGACTAAGTGGTCTAGTGGTTAAGCGCTCGCACGCGAGACTGATAGGTCATAGGTTAGAATCTCACGAGGCAGGATCGTGGATAAGCACTGATGAGGAGAACGAAACGTCCATCCAGTGCTTCTAGATGTTCCATGGTGTTCTAGCTTCAATTGCAAGTTATCTTGAAAATACTTTTAATTCACACAAGGTATAATCCCAACTGAGAGATCTTGGACATAAAACAACACAAGTAAAATAACGCAACTTTCATCGACATTATTGACTTGATACCAAATTATCTGGCAGCATAAGATATGGTATTTCAGTAACATTAGTTTCGTTATCCCACTAATAATAATATACACAAATGGGGATTTTTATACCTTTATGTCTCATGCTTACGTTGGTCAAAGCTACAAAACCTTAAACCATTATCCTTATTCAATTTATTATAATCTTCTTTAAACATAAATTAAATGACTGTAGTTATTTCTAAATGAAATATTTGCTTTTCTCTTATATTACACTCCACAATCCTTAAAGATTTGATAAGTAACTGATTTTTTACTAAAGGTTAATACAAATATTAATAGCTTTTCCCACAGAGGAACAAACTTGATGTTACTTTTCTTTAAAAGCTGAATGTTTTCCAATTCAACTAACGTCTAGAATCTAAGTAATCTAAACCGTTAGGAAGTTTAGATGAGTTTAGTATTCTGCTTATTATTACAGTTGACTGGGTATAAGTTTTTAAGAAGTATGAATTGAAGTTTTCTGTGTAAATTTAGTATCCATAAAAAATTTTGAAAATTAGGAGTTAGTCATTGTTTTCGTAACACAAATACTGACAAAAAATTGGTGATTTAGAATAAAAATAACATAGAAGTGAAAGATCATTTTAAACCAAACCTCTCTAATCAATATTTTATTCAGAATATCACTTCAGTTGCTATCATATGATTAAATTTATGAGCTAAAAATTTGATGTTAGACTTGTGCTCAGAACATAAATGTTTACCGACAAAACCATTCGTAGTTTTATAAAATTTTAGAATGTTGAATTCATGAGTCAATTGAAGCTAGACCACCATGGAAAACCTCGAAGCACTGGATGATCCTTTCGTTTTAGTATGGGACTCCTCAGTAATGCACATCCACGATCCTGCCCAGCGCGACTCAAACCCAAGACCTATATACATTTTAGGATACAAGTCACTTAATATATCTCTGTATGAAATTATTATGTGACTGGAAGTCTTTTTCCTTTTTAATACACATTAAAAAGCTATTCTCCTGTACATGGAAAAGACAGATCACGAAATAAATGTATCAGTATCTTTCATGTAGTATTAATTTGTGTGAAATACACAGGAATATCTAACATCTACAAAAGTTTACTACACCTCAAATATGTGAAAAGTAGTGTCACATAGATGTAAAATATAAGATCACTTCTGAATTTTAGATAACAATTCCTCTTAATATACTAACGTTTACGTTTGATCTATTCATCAAAAATTTTGATTCAATCAAATCAATAAATTTTATCTTAACTAAAGGTTCAGTGAATGGATGAATCACACACAGTGTCTTCGAAAGACCACGCACTCTTTTAGGTTTATATTCTTTGTCCATACTTGCCTTAACAAATAAATTTCATCTTTGTTAATGCAAACTAGTGCACCCTCTACCTAATATGATTTGTTCTTCTGACCCAACTGCGCCTAACTTGTTTTCCTTAAAACAAGTGACCAATCATATTAGTTCAAAATTGAGGCTTTTGTCTATCTGCCTTAATAGACAAACGATGAAGTCAAAGAAACCATTACTTATTCCTGATTCACCATTTGTATGTTTTACGCGAAATAAAAATAGAAATTCGCAAGAAATTTATTCAAAACATGGTAATATTCAAGCCAAAACTTTATACAGAAAGTTAGTTTCTAACTCAGGATGGGGGTTTGTGGAGACTGTAGTAATTTTAATAGTTGAATTCATGAATCGATCTAAGCTAGACTACCATTTCAATGGTGGTAAATGTATAAAAAACTTACAAAAGTGCTTCGGAATACCAACATCATATTATTGCAGTTATAGGACTGTATGATAAAAATATTAAAGTGATTGTAAAATATTTCAAGTATATCGATTTATATTTCTTTTGTTAAAAGTGTAAAATATATACCTGAATTTACGAACTAGTGGAAATCATTTTGACCCTAATGTGTACAATGATTTCATGAAAGACCAGTAATAAGTGTGTTTTAAGATCGGTGGAATGGGTTATTTACCGCAATTTATTTAGAACACAAAGAGGTTAGCTCATACGTTTTCGTATCTGGGCATTATAATTTTAACAACAAGTATGTTTGGTACATGAATTCTTGTTGAGTTAAAGCACATTGTAGGAGAAACCATCCCATTGTTTAGGATATCTAGATGTGGCAAATTTGGTTCCCTTAAATGTACATAAGGCGATGTCATACGAAGCAGTGAATTATTTATATATACATAAAATGGAAAGCACAAAATAACCTTTCGTATTATCATATAAATCTAAAGATCTTCGGAAACATTGGGATTTCTAATATAACTATGTAATGTAAATCATATGGTTGTAATTATTACCGTTACTGATTAATTTCTGATTTAACTACCAAACCCTAAATTCTGGATTCCATATCGTCAGTGTACTCGGCATTTAGAAGTGCCCCAAAATGCTGTGGTACGGCCGAGAGTGGGAAGAGCCCGCTCTCCCTTTTGAAGTGTTTTCAAGCGGCCACGTGCATATAACCACTGTCAGGAAAGTCCTACTCACTGCCTTCTTGCGGTGGGAGTGTTGTTTACCAAGTTGAAAGGACGAAAAGCGAATTTCCGGCGCTTTAACCGAATTGGTGGATACGGAGGATCCATCTAGGGAAGTTGGAAAACCCTGATTCCGAACCAATGGTGTACATGAACTCCAAGATCCTAAGGAAACAAATGGAATATGAACCTATTGTAGGCCCCCGGCTACCATGGGACTGCATCTGACGTTGCTCCACTGTCTTGTGGATTAGGCCTTTAGGTCAAAGGCTTGGGGTTTGGCTCCCTAAGAAAGCCGTCTACTTCAATTTGGGCACCTGGGCAGTATCACAGCCCTCACACAAATCAAATGAGTTTTGTGTTGCGCATATCTATTTGGTACACCAATGTTTATGTGTTTAAGTAAATAAATACATGATATTTCAAAGTATCAAACCGTACCAGACTGATTCCTCTACACTTCCCAGTAGTCAATAGCTTTTTCAATATATATCATTTCTGAATAATAAAAAAAAACTATCTTTGAACAAACCATATCCCATTTAATCTTTTGAAGTGAATAAATTATCTGTTCATATTAACTTTAACATAATTGTATTTAGTATTTCAATGAGGATTAATGTGATATAATTATCATCTTTTATTCAGACTAAATCATTTAGACTATCGATACAACTGAATAAAGTGTGAACATTCTTGAAGAAAAGAAAATTACAACACTTAAATCTTATTGTCAACTTGATTTGAAATTTAGATTACTATTGACTAAATTTATTCATTTCATTAAACTAGTCAAATTATCCAACATAGTAACAAAAATTTATTTTTATAACTAAAACAGTATAATTATGATTTTGATTTGTTTTAATTGATAATATAAAACCCACTTAAGTTTTATAAATAAACTCGAACTGTCATTGTATTATAGAATGTTATAATGATAGATATCTACTTTTGATTGATTAGAAGAAATAATTCAAACACTTCGATATTGTATTTTTTTCTTATTGCTTCATAATTATTCAAGAGGTTAGTTAATTAATCCATCGACTTGAAATAAAGGAACATTATGAAAAACTATGTAATAATACTTAGTAATATGTCATTCAGTGAAATTGAATACTGAAAATTAGTTCATTCAGTTGGATGTAGAATAATAAGTTTTCTTAAGATAGTGGAATGAAAAATATACGGATGGTTTATATATTTGAATAAAGAAAGAACCAACTATTGTCTTTAATTATTTTTAAAAATAAATTATGATATATGACTAATTCTTCAGCAGTCCGCACCCACGATCCCGCACCTCGCGAGATTCGAACCCAGGACCTATCAGTCTCGCGCCAGGCGGTTAACCAACTAGACCACTGAGCCGGCATCCAACGGTGTTAATGTCTAACTTCAACCAATCCACGAAGTTACCCAAATAATTAATTTATTAATAATGTATGTTAAGAAATTTATCTGTCATTTTAAAGTAGACTAAATTTCATTGCTAGGTAACTTATGGTATATTATTCTTCATAACATTTTTACATTCATTGTGATAATAGAATGTAACTAAATGTTTGACAGTATTAGTTTGTCTATCTATAGTTTAAATGTGTATTTGTACGGAATGTTATGTCTACTATAACTGCAATCTGAGAAGAAAAAAAGTAAATTATCAGAGTATGCCTCATTTAAATTGCCATCGTTCATAACAGAGATTTCATGATGAGATAATTGTGTGCATGGACAGTTTATATGTATCAAGGTCCAACTGTCAAAGTAACAGGAAACCGGTAATTTTTAAGTACTTCAGAAAGAAGTCATATTCAAATACCATTCTGTAATGAAGGATTACGATGGAAGCTGTAAT